TCAGATACCTGGAGCCCGTACTCCTAGGTTATGTGGGGATGACCGCTCTTGTTCTGGCCGACCCACTAAAAACCACACCCTTTTTGAGACTTAAACTCCACTGGCGGAACTGCTGTTAGCTTTATACATCGCCAGTGGAAGTCTCCTTACCTTTGCTCTCAGTCCTAAATCCTTAACTGAGTGCTAGCGCTAGAAGAAGGAGGCATTATCATTGGTTACCTAATGTTTCATGAAACTAATGAAACTTTTGTCCATGAAACATTGCAACTTTCATTTGAAAGTTTTTATCTTTTAATGAAACGTTTCACGACTCACAACCCTACTCCAGGGAAAAAATCTAGGGTAAATGTACTATTTACGGCGCGATTCGTGTCAAAAAACCTTTGAAATAGAAAATTCGAAAAATGTTTTAATTACGGCGAGGGAGAAAATTTTATCTCGAATAATTAAGGGAGAAAACTCGTGTCAATGCACGTTTTTTCAGGAATTTTTTAAAACAAACTGGTAAAATTTATTGAATTAAACTGAGGCATACCTTAAAGTACACAATATAAGCTTTATAAAAAAAATTTTCTATTAAAAAATATTACAAAATGCATGTATTTAAATAAATACAAAATTTTTCAGCTAAAATGTGAATTTTCTATTTTTTAACTTTCATTAATTTATTACATTTACCTCAAATGTAAATTTTATATATACCAATCGATTCGTTTTTATGCAAGGAATACAATTATTTCATCTATAAACTTAAATTTAAATAATCACAAAATTTTATAGTCAAAATGTGAAATTTTGATTTTTTAACTTTCATTAATTCTTTCAATTTAAATTAAAACTATACTTTATATATACTGATCGATTTGTCTTGACGTAATGAATAATACGAACAGTAAACACTACACCTTAAAAAAATAATCTTCATTCTAGAGGATTCCTCTAAATGTAATGCATATTTTCCTCTTAATTTTGGTATCAAAAGTAATAATCTTAATTTAGAAGGATTTTCCTCTCGAAAAAATCCTCTTAAAAGAAGAATAATATTCTAATATTTTGACAAGTTAAAAATAACCGTAATACACAGGTTTTGAATAAATTATCAGACAATAATGGTTATGTATTGATAATAAAGTACAGTTTTGACACATTGAATTAAATGTTGATATCAAAACCTCAACAAAAAAAATTCCTAGTGTTATTAATGTCAAGAGAACCAATAATTTTTTTAAATTTGAATAATACAATAAATATTTAATAAGATTTAATTATTTACATTCAAAAAAGGTAAATTATAATAGATTCCTGGAATAAAGAATGAAATATTGGTTTTTAATTAAATATTTCTGAAAAATATTTCTTGCTTTTTGCTGAGCATCAATACATTAGATTTAATTACAATAATAATAAAAAATGCTATAGCTAGTTGCAAATATCAAAGAAGTTCGACGCAAATATTTAAGAAAATTGGTAAGAAATGAAGATTCATCGAGAGGTTATATTTTCTGTATTTATACCTCCATTCAATATATCCACCCAGATTTAAATCATTTAGAAAATCTTCGACTCTCTTTTCCATTTTGGTCTTTCCATTTATAACACAACACTATTATGACATACGAAAATTGACAGTTTCGAAAAACAAAAGCGCAAATGTCAAACAGGAAAAAAATGTAATCGATATCATGTATTTACTTTTCCTTTTTTCAAATATACTAAATTTAAACAGGAAAATCGTAATTGAAGAGGAAAATGCAAAAGTACTCCTTTTGTCATTGTTCCATTACAACAAAGAATAAAAATATTCTACAGTCAAATGGAATATTCGTATTTTAAGAGGAAATATTCAGAGGATTTTAGAAGAGGAATTTTCCTCTAAATTTAAGATTACTTTTTTTTGGGTGTACTAATAGTGAATTTAAAGTCAACGTGAAACAGTTATCATCATTGCCTATCATAGACAATAATCAAGTGAAATAATATAAAATTTTATTGATCAATACCCTTTTAAGGAGGGGATATGTTATGTGGGTTATACCAATAACTAATAAACTTTAGTGTATTTATGATATTCCAACTTAGTTTGGTTTAGTACTATGTTATAAAAAGATGTCGCTAAGTCGGGTCTTCAAAATTTTGTCACATTTCATTTAATAATAAGAATTACTTATTCTCTAAAAACTGCAAATATTAGAAAACCTTTCAAAATTTAGGTATTATTCATATGGATTTAAAAAGATAAAATTTTAGTACCAAGGGTAAATTGCTAAAGGATCGCTTTTCTTATCCTGTAATAAAGTATCCTTATTAAGGTACCACTCTTACGGTACATCCATATCATAAAACTTTTTAAAACTTAAAATATGTTATTTTTTATTCGTAAATGATTGTAAATTGTCGGTAAAATACGTGATTTTTACAGTTTTGCAAGGTTTTCATTTCACACTTTCTTTTGCAAAGTCAGTTGTCATTTCATCGGCACCAAACACAGATCCAAATAGATATACATTTCAACAGAGTGAAGTTCATTTATTCAATCATTCACCTAAAATAAAGGATAAAATAACATTTATTTTATCTCAAAATTTCTGATATACACTACCGTCGGAAATTGTCGGTACAATTAACGTGCGAGGATTGGAAATTCAATGCGGAATTAAAACAAGATATTTTAAGTTAGAAAAAAGTTAAAGGTTTCTAACTTAGATGGTTGGAAAGCTGATAAAATTCTGCTTCTGCATGTATATCAAGAAAATTTTTTCTTTTTTTTTGTATTTATAACGCGCTTTATCATCCTTTTTGTTCCACGCAGCTAATTTGACAGCATCTGCATCATCTGGTGTTTCTCTTGATATCACTTCCCAAAGATTATCTTCAATCAACATAAGCTTTCTCATAGAAAAACGATACTTTCTGCCATGTGTATTACATGTGAACACTTTTATTAACTGTAAGAACTAAATCACTCGTTTAAGAAATGTTAATTGTAAAAAATTTTCAATTGTTTTTAATTTGTATATTCACTTAATGCACTTAATTTATATCCTTTATTATCACTCACTACACTCTGGGCCCATAACCTGTTAGAATTTAACGTTGTTAGGAAGGAGGAAATATGGATTATATTTTATATACAAGTAAAAACAATAATTTTGTTTAATATATATAATTATAAAACAAATAAAATATAAAAAACTTTATAAACTTGTGGCGTCCGTACTATTAAATACCATATGAGATCCTTTATATGGTTTCTTATATGAGAGTAACAGATACGCAAAATCTGACAAAATTTTGAGTTCATTTTAAATAAAGCAAAAATATTTTTTGTTTAAAACTTAAAATATGCCCCAATTTTTTTTAAATAACTACCCTGTTGAAAAATCCGACGGCGGAAACTAATTAATATCCGTCGTGGTATACGTCGTATAAGATGTAGTTTACGACGTCATATACGACTCCGTAATCGAAAGCGGAATTTGGGATAGCATACGACGTCCTATACTACGTAGTTTACTACGTAGTTTACGACGTCGTTTACGATGTGGCAAAAAATTTTATCAATATCATATAATAAGTATGTACATAAAAAAGATTAGAATTTATAAAAATAAATATTTTAGTTTAATAAAAATTTAATGACATTTTTAAAAGGGCATATTTTGACTTCACTAAATTATCAAATTAAAAGTTTTTTTATCTTGAAATATAAATTTATTAACAAAGAATTACATTAAAGTTGAAATAAGTAAGATGAAGTAATCTAATGACCTATTTCTTAGCTTAATATACCCGAAAAGTTAAAAAAAGAAAATAAAAAACAGTAATAAAAACGCTATAGCATATGGAATTTCACATTACATTTTAAATTCAGTTCAAAAATTTTTTTTCTTTTATATAAGAAATTAATTTTTTTTAAAGTTTTTAAATTCAAATTTTAAAAAATTCCGTCTAGAGAATAAAAAATTAGATTTTTTTCGACTTTTAACTTATGTTAAAAAATGGAATTTGTTAATTAAAAAAATAATATTTTTTTAAAAACATATTCACGTTTTTAAATATGTGCATTAAAAGAAAATTTTTATTAATTTAAAATAATAAGAATATTTTAGAAAAAGTATAAGTGAACAAAATAAACCTTTATCTTTGAATAATTATTAAATATTTTTTTTCTTACATATAAATAATAATAATATTTCAAAGAAAGTTTAAGTGTTCAAAATAAATCTTCATATTTAAATAATTTTTAAATAAAAATAATTTATTGTATCGGTTTCTTACTTCACTTGTAGAAAAGTGAAATAAAATTCTTCTTTATTTAAATAAAAAAAATAATCCAGTCAAAAAAATTCTATAGAATTTGACTAGAATGATTCTATAGAAATTCTATAGAATGATTTTATAGAATTTCCAAGAGAAATTGTAGAATAATTGTAAAATCAAATTTAAAGATTTTTAAGGGGTATTTTACTTCGACGACCGATAATTATGAATAAAAAACATTAACTCTAAGTATACTTTAACAATATTTAATGTCTTTTATTCTTAATTATTGGTCGTCAGAGTAAAATACCCCTTAAAAAGCTTTAAATTTAATTTTATAATTATTCTACAATTTCTCTTGGAAATTCTATAGAATCATTCTAGTCAAATTCTATAGAATTTTTTTGACTGGGAAAACAAAAAATTTTTAATTTAAAAATTATTTAAATAAAGTTTTTATCCGCTTAACTAGAAAATATTTCATAAATCATTTTAAAATGATTTTGATGTACGTAATAAAATTGTTCTTAAATGACTAAATTTAAAAAATCAATTGGTTTATAAAAAAAAAATTATTTTTAGAATATAAATTCTTAAATGTTTTTAGTCGAAGATAAAAAAATTTTTATTATCATTTATTCAATAGACATAAAATTCAAAATTTGGCTATTAATAAAAATCAAAATATTTTTTTTATCAATAAAAAATTTTTTTTACTGAATTTACCATGCAAACTAAAATTTTATGTGAAAGCGTCCATAAGAAAAATAAATAACATTAAAAAAAAACCTTAATTTTACTTTTTGGGTACATGGCATTCGCAAAATTATAATATAAAAAAAAGAAAAAAACACTTAAATATGGTAAATGATAATTATTGAAGTTATATTAATTTCACTTTAAAAGACTTGAGCGTTTCTGAGATCAGTATTAAGTCCTTTTAAATTTAGCATTAATGCAATAACATAAAACTAATATAAATAAGAAAATTTTAGTAAATAAGGATTGATAAGACGAGATCAATTATTTCACTTTTAAAGTTTTTGGCATTTTCCAAATAATGCATAAACGAAGACACTTAAAGTATTTTCAAATTTTGGGCATTTTAACGACAATGCACAGACAAATAACAAATTTTAGATATCTGCAATAAAGTGTTCTGCAAAATCATAATAAAGACGCTTAAAATAAGCGTAAATATTATGAAACTAACTAAAAGAGACGTAACAAATTTTTAACGTCTTTGATACTTTTTTAAATAATTCGTAAACAAACAATACTTAAAGTATTTTCAATACCTTCGGCATTTTACTAATAATGCATAGGCTCAACAAATTTAAAAATCTATAATAAAGCGTTTTATGAAACACGCTTAAAGTTATCGTAAATACTATGAAACAAACTGAAACAGACATAATACTTTTAACGTTTTTGGCATTTTTCAAATAATGCATAAACAAATAAAACTTAAAGTATTCTCAAGGTCTTTGTTTTTTTAACGATAATACACATTTAGACCACACATTTTAAATATCGAATGATAAAATGTTCATGAAAACTATAATAGAAACCGTTTGAATAAACGCAAATACTGAAAACCGAAGTATAACAGACGGTTGAAATAATAAAAAATAATACTAATACTGGTTATTGTCAAAACTATCTTGCATTCACTGATTTGGATTCAATTCGTCTTGCAGATTTCTGCGGACATCGTAAATTTTTGCAGAAAGATATTTCCAATATTTATTGACTCTCGCATTTCTTAATCTGCCTTCAATTCCAGAATCAGTAATTTTATTGTAAAGACAATCTGAAAAATAAAAACGATACGTTCATTGTCTATAAACTGTATTTTACTTAATCTACAATACGGTGTCTACAAACTAAAAAATAGCCGGGAAACGAAAAGAAGTCGGGAAATAATCGGAAAATGGAATATAATAATTTAAAATTTTTTATAAACGTTTAAATTTTTTTTAAAACTTCGAAAAATTTCAAATAATTTATTGTAACCAAATCCGCCAAATAAAGTATAAAAATCTTGATATAATTTCAACTTTTAATAAGTGAATTTTATAAAGAAGTTGTTCGAATTTCAAAATTTATTTTCACGATAAAAATTTTATTTCAACGAAAACATCTTTGATGCAAAAAGTTTCGCCAAGTAAAAATTACCTATCTTAACGCTTGAAATAATTTATGAAATAAAAGTTAGCCAAGTAAAATGTATGACTAAGTTAAATATTAATTTTTTTGAATAGGAATAATTAAATTGACTAACTAAAATCTTTTTTCTTGTAGTTTTAAAGTATCCTTTAATATTGAAAAATATAAACAATGACATTGTTTAGTAATTATAGAATAAATGATTGAGATTAACTTTATGCTTTATAATGATCTGTATCGTAGAGAGTTGAAAAGCTTAGAATGAATAATTTTTTAAGTAACAGAATTGTGAATATCTTCTTACATCCTTCTTGAAATTTTTCTTTAATACGTTTATAGTATATGTTGCATATATATGTAAAACAATTATTTGTGCAAAAATGTTTAAATAAATACGATACAGATTTTTATGATGAATCACAAAATTGATTTCAGCTAATTATTTAAATAATTATTAAAATCTAATTTATATTTTATATTTTTATATCTTTTATATTTTATATCTTTTTTTTTATTAAAAAAAATTTGACCTACACTTAGAAACGAAAAGCACAGAATCTGAATTCTTGATTGTCAACATTCGTGCCTGATTTTTTTTCGGCCGGTGTCGTTTAGAAGTAACGAAAATGTACTCAAAGTACGGGTGCTGTGTGGGAAATTTGATATATTATTTTATTAATATCAGAAGGAATTTCCTCACGAACGTGTTCTCGAGAATTAATTAATTTAACAACTCATACTTCAATAATAAGACTATTTATTATAACAAAACATCATGTCGATGTAAAGAGTCGACAGATGAATAACTAAATATATAAAAGCTGCTTGACAGATCGACGTCTCGATTCTAACTAACTTACTTTCTGCTGTAGCCGTTCACTCACATACATTCGTCTTTACTCGTCTCTTCGAGTTGGGGGGTACGAGGGGAAGCCTCGCAATAGCTATTCCCCACAGCTGCGGTTCAAGCACGCCATCTGTACTCGGAATACAGTATCCGTACTTCTGCGGACACCAACCGAATAAAACTGAGGAACGGATGCTGACACTCATTTTACATGGCCGGCGGGCGTTATAGTTCAAATTCTGTGTTTTTCTTCTCTCAGTGTAATCATACATTTTACTTTGCTAAGATTTATATTTCATAAATTGTTTCGAGCGTTAAGGTCATTTTTACTTGGTTTTTGTTGATATTTAAAAACTTATTGTACAACTTTATGCTTCATTAGGAAAACGACTACGTTCTCGACTAATGTTAATAATAAAAAAATCGATTATTTAAATATAAAAAATTAAATAAAAATTTTTTCAGGGTATTAAAATTGCCTCAATTATATGCAGAGATTGGATATTATTATCCAATCTCTATTATCCATCTCTATATGTAGAGATGGATATTATTTGTTAGTTTCAAGCGAATTTGTCGCGAATTATGAATTGCAGGTATGGCTAAGTATGAAGAAATTGATTTTTTATCCTGAAAAATAGAAAATTTTAAAATTTTTCGAGTGTAATAAAATAACCTTACTTAGAAATCTATATCTTACCTCGATTGATATTATTTTTAAGTATCAAATAAATTGGTTAAATAATATTGGCTCTAGGTGTTCATAAATATTAAAAAAATTATCAATTTTTCGTTTTTTTAGCCTAATTTCCATAATTTTTTGAAAACCTTATATATTCTTCAACAGATGTTATTTTTTAAAATACTTTTTACTTAAAAAGAAAATTGCAAAAAATCGGTAAATTATTTTTCGAAGTATACAATTTTAGTCGAAAGTTGATATTTAAAAAAAAAGATTCGCGTTTCTTTTACTGACAAGTAATTTTCTATGTGCAGAAAATTAGCTGAATAAGAACATAAAATTGTTTATTGTTTTAAAAATAATTAAAATTTTCATAAACAATCGGGAATAAGACTTTTTTAACAAATTAATAATACATATTGGAGAAATCATTTCTTTTAGATTTTATTTTTTTATACTTTTTTTCTCTTTAAAAAATAAATAGATAAAAGTTTTAGTTCATATAAGTATGTTTCCTAGCTCTTTTTCATTCATCAAAAGAGAATACTATAGGTTGCCTAATTCTGAAAAATAGTGTACTTATTTTAAGTATTTTTTAAAATTTTGTTTATTATAACAAAATTTTAATAGGTACTCTGAACAATAATTACGTCATATAATTTAAAAATCTTATTACCTTTTATTATTTGCACTTTTTGCGGAGTTATTGCATTTCGAAATTGAACATCATTGATTTCACGTCCCCTATTCGCTCTAATAACATCAAGGCACTTTTGGCGCAGTATTTCGTCACTCCACAAACATCTAGCCAATTCTCGCACAAATTTGGAATCACTTTTGGCTCTCATTGATTCCCAGATGTCTATATGGATCCGTGTGTTTGCGTCAATATGCACCTATTATAAATAAAGGAATTTATATTAAATTGTTAGTTAACAATTGAGACACAGAAAAGTAAAACCACACATAAAATTCTGACAATATTATTAGTCTGGAGTTCAGAATTTTATGTGTAGTTTTATTTTCTGCCGAATCAATTTTTATCTGTTTAACGTATAGTCATTGTGGGATAGCAGGTAATATTTAACTTAATTTATGAATGACGTGAATTTATAACATTAATTAGCAAGTGCATATAATCTTATTTTTACAGCATGAAATGGTGAGTTTGTTAAATGAGATATTGTCAATATTCCAAAGGAAATTTTCAATTCCTTTTCTTTTAAAACAATAAATTAATTTAAATTTTTAACTGCTAAAATATTACACATACCCAATCTTCAGGTCGGTCATAGCGTTCCCCTAAATAGTTTTGTGGCCTGTACGGACGTTGTTGTCCGTTGACACCAACTTCTCGCTGTTCATGTCCTTGCATGTTTCGGATTTGTAAATTCCGACCATTTGGTCTCATCTGGTCATCTCCATTGTCTTGTCTGCCTTGTCCATTCTGATCATTTGGTCTCATCTGGTCATCTGCATTGTCCTGTTCGCCTTGTCCATTCTGATCATTTGGTCTGATCTGGCCATCTCTCATGTCCTGACCACCTTGTTCATTATGACCATTTGGTCTGTTTTGATTAAGTGCATTCAGTCCTTGTCTGTCATGATCATCTTGTCCATTTAGAGACAGTTCTCGGTTCAGAGATAATCTTGGATTTGAAAACATTCCTGGGTTCGGAGATGGTCTTGGGCTCGGAGACGTGCTATTAGAACCTGTTGTTTAAAAGAATATTTATATTAACTTTGAATTTATAATTGCAAGTAATAATAAACAGTTGTTGAGTCAAATAAAGAAATTAATTTCAGTTTAAAAAAATCTCAAAATTTGAATGCATCTAAATTCAAAAAACAACAATAACTCAAAAAAATAATTGTCAAATTTATTTTATTTTTATCTAAAAAATTATATATTAAAAATTTAATTTTCTTATTACCAGCTTATGATGCACATAGATTCAATAAATAAATAAATAAATGATTTCTTTAAACTATAAATGTCGAATTACATTTTATTTGATACTAAAAGAATAAGAGAAAGTGTCATTTATTTAAAAAAGAAAGAAAAAGTTACATAATGCTATATGTATAAAAAACAGTTTTTTAAAAATTTTTTCGTAAAAATATGACCGCATTGAAAAAGGTATTTACAATAAGAAAGTCGAATTAAAATTTTTTAATGGCATCTTGTGCAGGCTTATCAGATTTCTTGATTATAGTGAAATTAGAGAAAATTCTTGCTATATTTATGATAAAATAATGCAGCATTTTTTAACGTTGATTTTGGTTGTAAACACCTTCTCTTAAGATGCGGTTACCAATATTTACCATTTCTTGAAATGAGCTCAACTTCTACCTCTGATTTCTCCAAATTGGTATCACTATCATTGAAGGATTCGTCAGAAACAGTCAGTCTTTTTCGATTCTTCATGAGTGTGTTCTACTTTTCCAAAATTCTTTGGTTTTGAATTGTGCCAGCTCGTTTCTTATTTAATGTAACTTCAGAGTATGCTTTCTACAAAATTTAAATACAGTTTAAATTCTAAGCATGTGAGTAACATTAATAAAATATGGGCATTTGAATTGCTTTATGCATATCAAGATAACACAAATAATAACAGGAAGGCGTAAATATAAAGAAAAATAAAAGTTATTACATCTAATATAATTTTTAATATAGAACTAATTATACATATAGTTAAATAGTTTATTACCAATTCTTTTTGTTAGATTCAAAAATTTCCTTTTACTTGTAAATTGAAATAAAATAGATAAAATTTTACACGTATTGATGACATATCATTATTAAAAGACTTTAAGTGGCCTTTTTTGGAAAAAAATATTTTCATAAATGATTCTTTATATCTGGAGAAGGAAATAAAAGGAATTATGTAAAATTTTTTATTATTTTAAAGTGGAAAAGTTACATAAAAATGTCACTTTTTTAGAATCATTTAGAAAAGATTTTTAAAAACATAGAAAAATTGTTAAAGGTGTAAAAAAAATTATTGATTCTTGTTTAGAATCGATCAATTAAATTTTTTTCATAATTGAAGTACTGGGAAAAGTAAAATAATGGTTAAAATGTGACGCCGCACGAGAAAGGGATCTTTTGCGGCAACCGTGAATTTTATAGGGCGAGCGTTTGAAGCAACCTATGGCCGAAAACATAAGTAGTTGGGCAAATATGCCTATCTTTTGTGCTACATATTATTAAAAATATTTGAGTTTTTTTATTTCTGATTTATGCTATTAAAAGAGAAAATCAAAATCTATTTAATGACACCAAAAACTCAAAATCCATTTCTTTTGGCGATAGGTTCCTTTTCTCGTCAAGCATTACAAATATATTTTCAAAGTTCGTTTGTGAAATAACCTTATTTTGAGATTTTTATTAATTAATTATGAAAAACTGTAATTGTTAAATTAAATGAAAACTTACGGAATATATAATGTGTTTTTGACAAATTTTCAGATTTTGTAAATACTTTTCACCATTTTAGTTCGTAAATGTTACAAATCCTGCATAAATAATTGTCACTTTCTTGATTTTTTCGATTTTAAATCGCTTATAACTTTTTTGGTGCAAAAGAAAAAAAATACAAATCTTGGATAAATATTTAAATTACTACTTAGTAAAAACACTTTTTCAATTTTGCGATGGGGTAAGTCGGGGTTTAGAAGAAAATTCTAATAAAAATTTTATTGTTTAGTAACAGGTTAATACATGTATTTTTTCAATAATGAATTGATGGAACTTTAATTAATTAATTCAGTTTTAACAAATTTCTATGTCTCAACCTGTTAATAAACGATTAATTTTTAAGTCAAATTATCTTCTAAACCCCGAAGTTCTCTATAGAAAAAGTTTAAAAAGTGTTTTTAATAGGTAGTTTTGAACAAAAAAAAGTTAAAAGTCATCAAAAATCGGAAAAATCAACTTAAATTGCAAGATTTTTAATATTTACTATTCAAAATGATAAAAAGTGCTAAGAAAATTTAAAAATTCATGGAAAATACTTTATTTATTTATTTATTTAAGAAAATTTAAAGTTCCTAAGGCTAATTAGGTTTTTCAAGGAACAAATACATAATGATACATTTTCAATTATAATTATTCTAAATTATAATGTTTAAAACAAAATAAAATAATACTGAGTAGATAAAAGATAAGATAACATACGTGTATTACAATTTTGTACAAAGCAATTATATATAAGGAATGTATAGAAGGGAGAGAAAAAAAATTATTTTTTCTACACTTTTAACAATTTTTCTATGATTTAAAAAATTTTTTTTTAATGTTAAAGAAGTAACAGTTTTCCGTACATCTTCCATTTCAAACTCAAATTTTAAGAAAAATAATAAAAATTTTAACATTCTTAATTCTTTTCAGATGGTCCTCCAGATATCATAGAGAATTATTTTTCGGAATATTCATTTTTTTTAAAAATACGCTGCAACGAATTTTGATGAAATGTAATGGACTGACTATAATGTAATTTTTTAAACTATTATTATAATTTTAAGTAACATATTATAATAAATATTTATATTAATTTAAATTTTTAAAATAAATTTACAATCTCTAAATAAACATTCATTTAAATTTTAACGTAAAGTTAAAAGGTGTAATTTTTAATTAATACTGTATTTTCTGTTTTTCTTGAACTTATTTCTATTTTCCTTATTACAAATAGTAGAGTATACTTTTTCTGAAATTCTAAAATCTTTTAGAAACTGAAATTTTCAAAAAAATTTTGTTATTCTCTTAATTACAGTCTCACTAGCCACTTATAAAATGATCTGTCTGGAAAATTATTTTGAAAGAAAAAGAAGATTTAAAATTTTAAATAGCAATAAATATTTTTATTTACTTTGCAGGATTTAACTCCACGGGATTTTTGAAAAGATGTAGATGGTCACTTTTACTAGCTGCAATAAATTAGTGCTTTTAAATTATTCAAATTAAGAGGAAACGGTGAAAATTTTCTTCGATATTTCGAAGTTTTGTTTTAACAAATTCACAATCGTTTTAAATTTCAAAAAATTTTATTTTTTAAAAGAATTCAAATTTTTTAAAACCCATAAACTGATTGTTTAAAATAAAAAAAAAGCAATTAAAATTAATAAAAATTAAAAGAGTAGATTATTATTTTTTAAAAATTTTGATTTTGATTTAAAAAATTATCAACTAATTAATTTTTAAAAAAATGTTTGAAGAATATTTTAATTTTAAATACTCAAATATGTCAAAATAAACTTCATTGTTTTCAACAGCAGTTGCCTACAAAATTGTAAAAATTTTTCAACAAAAAAAAATTTTTAATTTCGATTATTCTCTTCACATAAAATAATTTTACATAAATTTTACCATTTATAAGTGTAAAATGAACAGATTTATGCTTTTTTTAAGTAATATTTTCTATAATTTTTTAAAAATTTTTTGAATAGTAACTTTTTTAAAAAACTACAAAATTTTGGGTTATAAAAAGACGTTATGTAACTCAAACTTTTGATTATTATTTTTAAACAAAATAAATTTATTTGATAATATTCGACGCCTTCTATTCATAGAATGCTTATTGAAATAACAAAACAATATAATGAATGTTGACACTTCCATGCCATAAGATTCCTATTCAATTTTCCGTGCAAGACAATTCTTGTATTCAAATGTGTGTTAAATTGTTTCTTATTGTAGGTTACTGTCAAAATATGATATTTCTTGTAAAAATAAACATTATAGTTAAAGTTTTATTGATATATTATATTTAAATAAAAGTGATAAAAATAATTAAATATTAGACGTGAATTATCTATTAAACATTTGTAATATTTTTTTAATACAATAATTTTTTATTACAACTTAATAAATTCCTTTTTTTAAAACAGGAGAAAATTTACTATTGTTTTTTCTGAAATTGAAAGAAAGTAATTATTTTTACAACATTGCAAGACAATGCTTATTCAAAATTGCGTGCAAGAAAACGCCTATACTGAAGCTAATGAACGATATAACTTACATTTATGAATTAAAATTTTATAAATAATCAGGTTATTAATTAAAACATTATGTAAAATTTACCCTACAAAGAATAATAATGAAATGAAAATGTACTTACTGCCTAATAGTAAGACAAAACCATTTAGAAGGAGATCGTCCTTTTGGTCACGTTTTAACCACACTTTCTGCTTTTTGTGTTTGTCGAAATCAGACTTGTGTTTAGGTGAGAATTTTTCAATATATGATATTGGCACAACACTATGATTTCCACGAGTGTAATAAACATAAGCGTGCGTTATTTTTTGTTTAGGCATCTTTTAAATAAGACGAATATTAATATGTAATGAGAGTGACAGTTACAAAAATCAACTATGCAGTACAGCAGACCAAACAGCGGCTTTTTCTAGAATTTTCTGCAAAGTTTTCAAATTTTAAGGTGTGTTCATCCTTGCGATCTACCGGTTGGCAAGGTGAGGCACCAGAGTAAAAGAGGCAAACAATTTAATCTTGAAATTTCTTTCTCTCTTACTCTTATGCGTTGCCACGACATTCTGTCTGCGCAGCGTGATACAACAATCCTCCTCTCAAGGCGCTTGAACACCTCTGTCAGCCTGTGCAGGCAGCCAGCAAGAGCCAATCAGAGAGTTAGTAGATTTAAATTTAAATTTTTTGTCTCTCTTACTCTTGTGCGTTTTCAGCGTGGTGGGAGGCTGCCTATGTAGGCAGTTGGAGGTGTGCAAGCGCCTTCACTCTCAACTCGTATTTTATGAAATGTTGTGGAAGTTCGTATGAGACATCGGAATTTCAATCTTGTGTTCAATTTTGTTTAATATAATTGACATTTATTTTATATATTAACCTTTAAATTACGAAATTAAAATAAAACATATTTTCTTGTTTTACGCTTCAATACTCTTTGACAAGGTAAGTAAATAAATAAGCAATATTTTTGATCATGTGTTTGTCAGAAGACTCAATGTTTATACATTTGATAGTTTGGGTTGTATTCAGATAAAACCGTTAAATAAATTGAATGGTTATTAAGATAAATTGTATCGTTGTTTATCTGATACGTAACTTTAAATTTTATGTGAAATTAACACTTCTTTTGTACTTTTTATGAAATAATAATTTCCAATGTTATATATGAAAATTTGATAAAGTTATTGAAGTTTATAAGAAAAGATTAGAGTACAGAGGGTTGGTATAATCAAACAGTCGAATAAGTCATGGTATATTCTTTGAAAATTATATAACTTTTGGTATTCACAGAATTTTGAATGAAAGTTCCCTTCCTGTAAACCTTTCTATATAAATTATAATTGTTTCATCATTATGTAAAACAAACAAGTATTTAAATTTTAATAGTATTAATTTAGCTAACTTTAAATTAGCTAAATTTAGAAGGGGGAGCATTCAAAACAGCTAAAAAAATTTTCTTTTTAAAAATGTACAACTTAATCTTTCAAAAGTTGTTATCATAAATTTTAATTATAGTTCTATTTATTGTTTAAAATAACTTTTTTTGAAAGGTTATGTTAATGTGATGGACATCCTTAAGTAACATTATATCTGACAAGAAAAGTTCAATGCAAGACTTATGGTCCAAAAAATGTAGATTTTTTAATGATTTTAGTTCACAGCTGTGAAAGTAAATTAAATATACCTTTTGGAAACATAAAAGAAAGGTTATATCAACAATTTGGTTCGTTAATGGACATCAGAAATCCAACTTTAAAAAATAAATTACTTTAAACTGTCAAAACTTTAGTGACATAGAAATAAAAAATTCGAAATAAAAAAATTATTTAAAATTATAAGAAATAATTTATTTTTATTTTTGTAATATTTTATAGATCGAAATGAGTATTCAAGAAAATAAAAAATACAAAAAGTATCTAGAACCTGGTTCTGCTGATACAATTCCATCATCTTCGTGGTATCGCTATAAGAAACAAAGAAATTTAATGGTAAATTTTGTAATTTTTTAAATAAATTTTAATAAATGTAAAAAAAAATTAATGAGACGTTTTACACCAGAACAAAGAACATTAAATAGTATTTTTAAATTTTTTAAATTTTCATTTTAGGACGATCAATCATGTAATATCTCAACAAATGAAGAATGCGCAATGGGAACTAATGTTTTAGAAAATGATGCTATTTTAATGAATATTGATGACACTGTAGAGAATGTCTTAGAAAATGATGTCAGTTTAATGAATTTTAACGATACTGAAGTTAAAGTTTCAGAAAATGTCACTTCAATAAATTTTAACGATAATGAAGAGAATTTTACAGAAGGCTCCAAGGATCTTCAAGACAAAAATGCTGTTTTTAACATTATCCAGTCCTTGGAAGAAGATATTAATCTTATCGGAAATGAAGTCCCTCCGTTTGTGCAGGTAATTTTAGTAATAATTATTTACTTATAATAACATTTTAAGGTCTAAATTAAATACATAAATCTTAACATTTCTTAGTAATATTTTATTTGAATTGGTTCACTGGAAAATTATGTAATTTTATTTTTTCAAAAATATTTCTTTAAATGATTGTGAAAAATTAATTAAAAATTATTTCCATACTGTTTAGGGGAAGTAATTCAGTTAAAGCGTTGTTAACTTATACTATTTTATTATTCAAAATAAATGTAAATAAATTCAAGTTATCCCCTTTTTCATTTTATTACAAAATTGTAAAGATTTTTTTCCATTTAAAGTTGACAAAAAAAAGAAGAAGTTTTTAAAAGTGTAATTGTAAAAAAAGTTTTATAGGTATTGCTACAATTTTTTTTGAACCCTATTACATATTAAAAAGCTGTTTTATTACATCTTGTTCATTTTCGCAGTCTTACGTAGTGTTTCCAAAAAATTACCTTACTTTTTTATCAGAGACCCTTTTCTTGACATATATCAAGCCAATTTTTAAAAACCAAAGACCACTCGATTCATTATTTAAAAAACTAGACAATTATACTTAAAAATTTCATATAAATATCAAACAATGAGATTATTTAGCGAGCTACTTTCTAAGTATGGAAATCTACAAAAATGATATTTTCCACACTTTCACAATCTTAAATGATTAAAATTAAATTTCTAAAAGGCGGGGCGAAAACAGATAAATGAAGAAATATTTTTATCATGTGGTGTTGCGATTTTAGTTTTACGTTGATTACAAATAAACAAAACTGTTAATGGTACTATCGTTAAGGGTACCCGCACCCGAATTTTCACTTCATGAAATTATCAATAGAAAAATCTTAAGTATTATTTTTTTGGCAATATTTTAATTTTTTAGTAAAAAATCATATGACAAAGAAAAAAAAAGCATTGCAACTTTTCACAATATCAAAATTGGAAAAACCTATACCCTTATTTTTAAAAGAACGTCTAAGGAACAAAATCAAACAATGACCAACGAAAAATATTACAATTTTTTTAAAAAACAATTTTTTGTAATTAAATTTTTAAAACATGGAACATTCAAATACATAAAACTTCAATGTAAAGAGACATTTTTTTATTTTGACTTCTTATGGGAAGCATTCTAATACTACAAAATTTTAAGTTAAATTTTTTGATGTATTTTTATGATTTTCGACCTCAGGAGTATAAAAATGACATTTTTTAAAAATTTCGATGTGTGTGTGTGTGTGTTTTGTTGTGTTTATACTCACTACTTTGCATAAATATATCGATCTCGAATACTACAAGAATTAAAGGTATAAATTTTTTTAAATTATAGATCTCACAAGCGGACAAACAGTAAGATTTGTTTGACCAAAAGTAATTACTAATATTTAACATTTTTGGATTTAAAAATTTTTTAAAACTGGTTTTTTATTAATATTTTTAAAAAAGTACTATACCTGCAAAATTGTCGGTACGACTACTTTGAGGGTTCTCAAAAACATACTTATCTTCAAATTAAGCTACCCTGTAAAAAAAAGTCCATAGAAATCGCAGGGAAACCCATAGGAATTGCATCAGCCCTATGGGTAATTCGTGAAAATTCCCGATTGGCCTGTTGTGTAAATGGGTACACCCTACAAATTAAATGGGACATTTGTATTACACACTTAATTATGAGATTTACCTTGAGAGGATTAGCTGGAATCATTAAGCAGAAGTTTGCCAAACTACACGAGTTTAAAAAAACATTTTGTTAAAAAAATAATGAATTTTATAGGAAAACAAAGGTTAGAAATGTTAAATGTGAGAGCAATCGGATGACACGCGATTTGAATGGGTTATTTATCTATAAGGGAAATAAGTTTTTTTTTCTTACCGACCTCTAACAGACATTTCCCCCGGTAAATAAATAATTATAAATGCAGATTTCTTTTAATATACAAGAATATTTTTAAAGCAAAAAAAAAATTAAAAACTAACTTTTGAAAAAAAACAATGTGTTATTACAACAGAAATTAATTAATTTATTAATTAATTAAATTGTTTTTTCTAATTTAAAACACATATTCAATTATTTTTAATTTTGAAGTGAATTATGAAATTGATTTAAAAATTTAATAAATAATAAAATTCAAAATAATTTTAAAAATTGATTTATGAAAAACTCTATTTTTAAAATACACGGTCATACATGACTTTAAATAATTGTTTTCTTTTTTGATTAAGGCCATGTGGGAAAAAATATATTTTTTCAGACTTTCCAAATTTCTGTCAAATGAAAAGAAATTTTGGGTTTAAATTTTGAGGGATGATAGATAGATTTATAGAATCCCGCTCTTCTACTTATTTACTATAATTTAACGGGAAAATAATAAAAATGAGACAGTTAACAGTGGATTAACAGATTCTTTTAGTTCATCCGGATGCCACGAACATGCGTTGTGGCCCCACTTCCTGGACCACTGAAACTCGTTGCCATGTTGCTTTTCAAACTCGTTCAAAAATAGGGCATTTATAACTTTTATTTTTCAAACTATCAAGCAAAATTATGCTGCGCACCGAGAAGAGCGGAAATCTATATATCCTCCTGTATCATCTCTCAAAAATCCAGCATAAAATTTTTTATCATTTCAAAATAAGACGGAAAGTCAGAATCTATATTTTCCCTCATTTAGTCACGTGGGAATCTCTCACATACCCTTAATCAATTTTTTAATAATACATTCAAATTTTGATTTTTCAAAAATTAGTAAAAAATGTAAATTAGAAGAAAAATAAAGAAACATTAAAACTTAATTTGTTCTTTTCTAAGAAGAGAAATGCACAAAAATACATTCGAAATTTGTATTTTTGGAATAACTAGCAGTAGTGTTGTTTTAATTCCTTTTATTTAACAATAATTAGTAAAGTAATTGATTTCATTACACTGATTGCCTTACAGGCAGTTAAATTTATTGTTAAATATTTATTTAAATTTAAATTTATTGTTAAATAAATGGAACTAAAACAACACTACTACTAGTTATTCCAAAAATACAAATTTCAAATGTATTTTTGTGCATTTCTCTTCTTAGAAAAGAACAAATTAAGTTTTAATGTTTCTTTATTTTTTTTCTAATTACCATTTTTTGCTAATTTTCAAAAAATCAAAATTTGAAGGTATTTAAAAAATTGATTAATCAAAAAAGAAAACAATTATTTAAAGTCATGTATGACCGTGTATTTTAAAAATAGAGTTTTTGATAAATCAATTTTTAAAATTATTTTGAATTTTATTATTTATTAAATTTTTAAATCAATTTCATAATTCACTTCTAAATTAAAAATAATTGAATATGTGTTTTAAATTAGAAAAAACAATTTAATTAATTAATAAATTAATTTCTGTTGTAATAACACATTGTTTTTTTTCAAAAGTCAATTCTTAATTTTTTTATTTGCTTTAAAAATATTCTTGTATATTAAAAGAAATCTGCATTTATAATTATTTATTTACCGGGGGAAAATGTTTGTTAGAGGTCGGTAAGAAAGAAAAACTTTTCCCTTATGGATAAATAACCCATTCAAATCGCGTGTCATCCGATTGCTCTCACATTTAACATTTCTAACCTTTGTTTTCCTTTAAAATTCATTATTTTTTTTAACAAAACAAATTATCAAATTCTCTTTATTTTAATTTGAGTTAAACAAATTTGGTTATATATAACTGCCAAGAAGCACGTAATATAACCTCAATATCAAGATAATATTACACGTGAGATTCGTAATATAACGTTGTAATATTACAGTAATCTTACAGCGATCTTCAAATGTCCGCCTCATGGTAATATTACTGGGAATATTTCTGTAATATTAACGGTAATATTACAGTAATATTACAGACTGATTTGAGTTATTCATAAAGCATAAAAAACGTAAATATATTATAATTCAGTTTGGCTTGTTGGTAAAACTGTGGACTCGTGTGCTTTGTGTTCGGGGTTTGATTCCCTAGGTGGGTAGATTTTTTCGTAAAGAAATGTTCACTTAATATTACTGTAATATTCTCGTGTAATATTACCTTAACCTTTACCAGTCACACTTCATTTTAGTAACGTTAAAGTCACCTGGGGTGACTAATCACCCCAACGACACAAGTCCTTTATAAAAAGCAAATAAAACGCATCTATTTAAGGCAAAAAAATTTATGTGTAATTTAGAAATCTTCTTTTTCAAGATACTATGTTTTATAAAGATGAATTTACAAAAGCAGCTCATTTAGAAAATAATATTTGAAAGAAGTCAAGAAAAATACATTTTTTCAATAAAAAACGTGTCAACTTTTAATTTTTTCAATTTCAAAACCTATTAAGGTAGAGTACTACTCAACAGTTATATTACAACAATAAAAATATAACACCGTTGGTCTAACATTTAAAAAATACGGTTATTTTGTAAAATTACTGGTTTGTTAGTCGAAACTTAACAATTTCCGTCTGGGGTGACATAGTCACCCCATGTGACGGGTGAGGGTTAATATTACGGTATAATATTACTGCAATATTACTGTAATATTACCTTAATATTATCGCGAAATATTACAGTAACATTACGGGTAATATTACCATGAGGCGGACATTTCAATATTACTGTAAGATCATTGTAATATTACAGCATTATATTACAAATCTTACATGTAAAATTACCTTGATATTAAGGTTATATTACGTGCTTCTTGGGTGTAGTTAAATTTATTTCAATGTTTATGCCTGTGTTCTAGAACAGGGACACGATTAAGACGATGTTCCGTAATAGGGACCTTTACCTTATATATCTTAATACTTGAAATATTTATTATAAAGTTGAAATTGATTTGTAAAATAAAAAAATTTCAAAATAATTATTGGAATTTAATAATTTTCTTTAATTATTATAGGGAGGCAATGAAGATGACGATTGTTATTTAAATGAGATCGATGAAGACGATTTTTTCATAGACGGAGTTGAAAGTAGTGATGATTTGAACAATGACGAAAATGATGAATTTTCATCTCAAACCAAGTTTACTTCTCTTGAAGATTGGCTGAAATGCAATAATTGTAATAGGGAAACTGATATTCATGATGGACGTTGCATCTCCAATATCAAAATTAATAGAAGCAAATAGCAAATCTTACAAAAAAATTATAAATAGATCTTTTGAAAAAGGTTTGTTTCACGATATTTACGACGGCAAAAGGTATAAAATGTTTTTGAAAAGTTTAAAAAAAGATGAAAGAAAACGTTTCGCTACATTAGTTTTAATACCGATGGGGCACCATTGTTCAAAAGTTCAAAAAATTCTATTTGGCCTATATTTTTAAAGATAAATGAACTGCCGTTTAATGTGAGAAGCAAAAATTTAATTTTAGCGGGTTTATGGTTCGGGAAGGATAAGCCTAATATGAGCATATTTCTAGAGCCGTTTGTCGATCATATGAATATCATTTCAAGCAATGGAGTCGAGTGCACCATAAATGAAACAAAACTAAACATAAAAATATATCCTTTAGTTTGTTGCGTTGATTCCGTTGCCCGCGCGCCAGTACAGGGATTCATACAATTCAACGGTCGGTTTGGATGTTCCCAGTGCCTTCACCCTGGAGAATGGACTCGAAGTGATCCGAATAAACCACGATCAGGAAGTATTAAGTATCCTTTAATGGATGAAATTCCAAAAGAAAGAAACGCGACTGGTACTGTAAACCACATAAAAAAAGCTGTTGAGAAAAAAAAATAGTTTTTGGAATTAAGGGACCGTCTCCATTAATGTATTTAAATGCTTATGATATAATTAATGGGTGTGTTGCGGATCACATGCATTGCTTCACAGGAATCGCGAAACAATTTGTCACGGCATGGTTTGGTAAAAAAGAAAAAAGTGGACTGCTAACGAAATTATTAATAACTAAAATTGATAAGAAACTTAATAATATTAAAGCACCCCACCAACTTGTCAGACTAACAAGATCTTTCTCAGAACGAGAATTTTGGAAATCGAAAGAATGGGAAAATTGGACGATTTTTTATAGTATCCCAGTTCTTCAAAATATTCTGCCAGATAATCTATTAATGCACTGGGCCTTATTTGTAGAGGCTTTTTATATATTGACAAAGGATAAAATTACAATTTACGAAGTAAATAATGCTGACAAATTGCTACACGAATTTGTTGCTCAGTCAGAATTGTTATATACAAAGGTTTTTATGACATTTAATATGCACTTACTTTTGCATATGGCAAAACACGTTTTAGATTGGGGTCCACTATGGTTCCACAGTACTTATGCGTTTGAATCTGGGAACGGGGATTTATTAAGAATAATCCACGCAGCCAAGGCTGTACATAACCAAATTTGCCGGCAAATCAGTTTGAAATATAGCTTCCTAACTTTAAAAGAACACCTTTATCTCTATTCCTCATTTGCTGTGAAAAATTATTGTAATAAAATAGGTTCAGTAATGGCAAAAAAAACCCTTCAAATTAATGAAATTAGGTACTTTGGTTCTGCGACAAATGTGAATACATTATGGTTAAATAACTTAAACCTTCACGAGAAGTCAGTTTCATTTAAAAAAATGGTAAAAGACGGTTGTTTGTACATGTCTTCGTTTAAAAAAAATAAACGTTCTAATAACTCTTTTGCAATTTTGAAAAACGGCGTTTATGTAAAAATATCTTATTTTATTGCGGACTCAGTAAATAAAAAAGAATTCACTGTTATTCGAAAATTAATTACAACAGAAAGTTACAGTGAAACATGTTGCATGTTAAAAAAAATTGTTCAAATTGCCAGCGAAACATCCATTGTACCAACCACGGATATATCTAAAGTTTGTGTTCAAATAGTAGCAAATGGTACTCAATATATTTGCGCTGTGCCAAATTTGTATAATTATTAAATTAACAGAAATTTAGTTTAATGTATTTAATTCCTTAACGAGATCTCGAAAAAATAAATTTCTTCTTATGATAGCCGAAAATGGAATATAATTTTATAGTTGAAATTGATAGTAAAACTTTTGTTTTAACTACTGAAGGCTAGCGAATAACGTGTACAAATGAAAAATCCATGTTTTCTAATTATTCTTGTCATTGTAATATACGTGCTTTATTCCAACTTTATGTTCAATTATAAAAAAAATGTAAAGAATTTTGTAAGACTGACTTTGAAACAGTGTTTTTAGAGAAAAAAAACAACTTAGACATTATTATAATTTTATATTTTTAAAGATTAAAACTGTAAAATTGAACTATAAAAATAAATAAAAATTAAGGAAAAACATCGCAAAATGTCTGTAATTCTTTATTTATTAAATTATATTTAAAAATTGAAATAACTTTTAAATTATGATATTTCTGTGAAATAAGAACGTGCCCTTGTTAAAAGGTCATCTAATTTTATTATACTCAAATTTGACTTAGACAGTTAAAAGAGACATAATGTCCGAAACAAAATTTTTTTATTGTTTAGTGATTCCGATAGAGAAAACTTTTTTTTGTCGGAAACATTAAATATTAAAAAATCGATTTCTTCACACATGCGGTCTCTTTTAACTGTCTAGGTCCCAAATATTTATTTTTATAATTTCTGATCTTTTTTATGTACATACTTATTATATGATATTGATAAAATTTTTTGCCACATCGTAAACGACGTCGTAAACCACGTCGTAAACTACGTAGTATAGGACGTCGTATGCTATCCCAAATTCCGCTTTCGATTACGGAGTCGTATATGACGTCGTATTTGACGTCGTAAACTACATCTTATACGACGTCGTAAACTACGACGTATACCACGACGGATATTAATTAGTTTATCCTATATGATATCTCATATAGGATTCTCGTAAGATCTCATATAGTATCTCATATGAGAAACCATAAGTGATCTTATGCGGGATTTATAAGGGAATTTACAGTAAGGGTTAAGGTTATGTGACTGTTAGGTCTGTAATGTTAATTTGTTCGCAACTTTTTTTGTAAAATACTGAATGGATTGAGTTGAAATTTTATGGAGGAATTCCAAACATGATATAGAATGGTTGTCAAGTCCGAAAATGTTGATTTATTGTTAACCCCTTCGCAGTGCACAGTGGCCGATTTCCCGAAAAACCTGGCCAAAAGTCAAAAAATTTTTTTTAGAAATTTATACTTTTTATTATTGAATATTATAAAGGAGGGTTCACTGTATAATTTTGCAAAAAAAAACACTTTTTTCATAACCAATTTATTATGTGAACAAGTAAAAGTGATCTTTGCCAGAGATTTACTCAGAACCTTTCATAACTATAAATTTTCGTCACAGTTAAAATAGTGAAAATATACTAATATACAGCAGATTTTTGAATATCTTTTTTTGGGAATTATTAACAAAGGTGTATGAAATAGGTTGAATGTATTTATCATCACATTTAAAACGTACAGTTTTTAAAAAATGACATTAAACATCGCTATTCATGGCTACGATTTTTGTATTGTTTTATCAACGTAAATCATGAAAATAGTTGTGAAATCCACCGATATCCGCGCCCTACCTGGTATTATCATAAACTAGAATATATTTTTGATTCATTTTAATTGAAATCAGCTGCCCCAAGCTGCCCCTGTAGTTTTGGTATCACTTTTTATTTCACCCAGCGCGTTGCACCGGCCGGCGGTGCAACTGAACGTGAAAGACTGACTTTTTCTTCATTCGCATTCGCTTTAAACTAAAATTTAAGCACTTTCTGTAATTTAAAAAAAATAAACTCTAACACATATACGCAATTTTATAATACCAGCAAATATTTTGGATCCGCCATATTGAATTTGATAAAACAAATGTAAAATTTGATTTCAGAAACCCAGTAAACGTAAGTATACTAAGTTTGGTTAAAATCGTACCATTTTTTAATTTTTAGCAAAGTTTTTTAAAATCTAAACGGCCATTTTGGATCCGCCATTTTGAATTTGACACAACCAATGTAAAATTTGAATTCAGAAGCCCAAAAAACATGGGTATACCAATTTTGGTTGAAATCGTATCATTTTTCGATTTTTGGCCAGGTTTTTCGGGAAATCGGCCACTGTGCAGTGTAGCAAAAATAAAGCTTTAGTGCCCCGTATGAGGGAAAATTTTTTTTTTAAAATTGATATTAAAAAAAACACGAAAACCTAAGAATACCCATTGACAAGTTTATCGTATTGTTAAAATAATAAAGTAATTGATCGATAATTTATCGTATTGTGTCTACTTATTCTTTTTAGATGCTACTATATCGGTCATACACACTGGTGGCACGACATTTTTATGCCCCTATAGAGGTCAAGGACAGTAAAGGGGTTAAATAATTATGATAATATACTTGAAAATAGTAAGAAAATACAAGGTTAGGAGTGTCAGATTTTCTAACAATATTTATACCTTTTATTATATTTATTTAACAATATATCAACATTTTTTCACTTCACAATCATTCTTTATAATATTTTAAATTCTTCCTCAAAATTTTAGTTCAATCCATTCAGCATTTTACGAGAAAAGTTAAGGACAAATTAACATTACTGACTCAATAGTTTCATGACCTTAAATAGCGAAAGATAAATAAATTACGTGTTTGAGTACTTTCTGAAAAAGAATTGTGGATGTGCAGAGAAACAATACTCATTACAGACTGACAAAAATATGCCTGAATTATGCTTCAGTATTTTATACTTTGATATTTCTTAAATATATTATAAACTTTTTACACATGTAATTACACGTGTAATACATACCTTAAAACTTTTTTGACATTTCTCGAATATTTTATAAACTTATACGTGTAATTACACGTGTCACAAATTCATAAAATTTCAATAAAGTTTCAACATATAAATTACATGTATGAATTACACGTGTAACTACACGTATAAGTTTATAAAATATTCGAGAAATGTCAAAGTATCTATTACCCAGATAGCACGTAAGCTTGCAGCAACCTTGCCGCGCAATATTGCCAACCTTGCATGGCAAGTTTGACGCAAGCTTCCGCCTAACCCAAGTTTGCATGATAAGCTTGCCGAAAGATTGCAGTGTAAGGTTACTGTAAGATTGCACAGTAAGATTATCACAAGATTGCACGGTAAGCTTGTCGCAAGGTTGATGCAAGATTGTCAAATAACCTTGCCAATCAGCACAGAAGGTTGCAGCAAGCTTGCGGAATATAACAAAAAAAAATTTGGGGGGAGGAAATTTATTTTTGTACATACATTGAGAACCAGTTCCTGGGAGGTCAACAAAATTTACTGCGCAGCCGTAAGTGCTTATGATTGCAATTGCGCATAGTCCTCATTTTCAATGCAAAACTTCTTTGCTGATTGGGCAAGGTTATTTGGAAACCTTGCACCAACCTTGCGACAAGCTTACCGTGCAACCTTACTGAGCAATCTTGCGATAATCTTACTGTGCAATCTTTCAACAACCTTACACTGCAATCTTTCGCAAGCTTACCATGCAAGCTTGGGTTAGGTGGGACATTAGAAGCTTGCGGGAAACTTGCCCTGCAAGGATGGCAATATTGCGCGGCAAACTTGCCGAAAGGTTCCTGGAAGCTTACGTGCTATCTGGGTACACATGTAATTATACGTGTAGCAAATTCTTAAAATTTCAAAAAAGTTTAAAAGTATGAATTACATGTATAATTACACGTGTAAAAGTTAATAAAATATTTGCGAAACATCAAACTATAAAATACACGTGTAACAAAATTCGT